AAATTAATCCACAAAACCTGACGTCTCAATCTATACGGTGGTAGACTCCTGAAGATTCGTAGGGACCCCCACAAGAGAGTGCGGACATTTGCCTCACATTGAGTTTAGGTGCTAATTGTAGATGCTCCTTTCCACTGACACGCACAAAGCAAACAACTAGCCACATGGCTTACACCGCAAGAAGTTATTCAGTTTAATAATGCGATGCTCTCTATCCAGCATGCTTGCAAACACTTTTATGTTACGTACGTATTGAAAATCACATAAAATCACAAAAGAATTATATTTACCCCGTAGCACAAGGGCAAATAAATAAAAAAAAACGTTACAACTAACGTGAATTCTTCATATAAACCTTCCTGCCATTGGTCCAGTGCTTGCCAGTAGCCCGCTCTAATAGAAGTAGCTAACATTACCTGAAAATAACTTTCCACCGAGCGCACCTCTTCCCCCCTACTTAAATCGGGCCTATATATTTTACGAACCCGTCATGCTGTTTTGTAATCTTAGACAGAGTTGTAGGCCTAAAGTTTTCTAAGTTTTATTACATAAAATGTCAGACAAAAGGAGAAGTCTGTATGCTTAACTAATCACCATGCCATATTTTACGGGGAAAGTGTAGACCTCGACGCGTTCTTAACCTCAAGTGGTAAGCTTTACGCTTCTGCCGCTTTACATCCGGAAGGGAACCGCGGGTACCCACCAGCACTGGTCTATACATCCGGGAGGGAACCGCCGGTACCCATCAGCACTGGTCTATACATCCAGGAGGAAACCGCCGGTACCCATCAGCACTGGTCTATACATCCGGGAGGGAACCACCGGTACCCACCAGCACTGGTCTATACATCCAGGAGGAAACCGGCGGTACCCACCAGCACTGGTCTATACATCCGGGAGGGAACCGCCGGTACCCACCAGCACTGGTCTATACATCCGGGAGGGAACCGCCGGTACCCACCAGCCCTGGTCTATACGCCCTAGAGGGAACCGCCGGTACCCATCAGCACTGGTCTATACATCCGGGAGGGAACCACCGGTACCCATCAGCACTGGTCAATACATCCGAGAGGGAACCGCCGGTACCCATCAGCACTGGTCTATACATCCGGGAGGGAACCACCGGTACCCATCAGCACTGGTCTATACATCCGGGAGGGAACCACCGGTACCCATCAGCACTGGTCTATACATCCGGGAGGGAACCGCCGGTACCCACCAGCACTGGTCTATACGTGGTGCTGGAATCGAACAACAGTCTTTCAGACCGTAGCTACTCATTATGTGTTATTGATTTAGCTACCCCTTTCTCCGCAGCCACTCCACATTAACTGGCACCAATGGTGCTCGCACCTAGAAGTTCGTGCAGCCTCCATAGTAGTTGTACAATTGATAAGAAAAATAGTAAGCCTATAGGCATGAGGAGTGACAAGCACACGGGTATTACGCCATGTAAACCTACACGAAACATGACTTTCACTTGCATTCACATTTCCATGTTCCGCCAAAACTGAAACTGTCCCGCATATTCTTTTTGTAATTTTGAAGCCGGGTTTCTGATGCGCGTCCGTGGCGGTCAGCCACCAGATCGATACAGCGACAGCCCTCGCCCCTCATTCGTCACTCATGCGGCGCTGTAAACGCGAAGTTAACAAATACATTAGAACTTCTGTCAAACGAAAATGGATTGAACTAAATTCCGCCTTTCTCGGAAAATGCATCCTATCCCGCGAACAGTGAAAAGTAAAAACTAATGTAAATTATCACCACTGACAGATGGAAATATTTCAACGCCAAACCGTAAAGAACAAGCAGTAGTCCAACATAAAACAATCTTCTCGAATATAAACGCCGAGACCTGTTGCTTTTACTTCAAGCAGGCCTAATTTTGCACTGTAATTTGGTTCGTGGAATTTTTGTGAGAATCAGTTAAATTGTGCCTTGCTGCATGATTTACTTCCGTGAAGAAGAATGAACAACAAGCTTTGTAAGATCGCAAAGACCACGTCGATAAAATACGCGTTGGTCTGTTCTGAAATAGAGCACACTTTTATGCTGGTTCATATTAAACCTGTAGTGAGGGACGCGAAAGCCACGCTTCCGTACCGAGTTCTGTTTGTTATAGGCAGTACTTGGTATTGTTGTTCATGCGGTTATGAACTCGCCGTATAACATGTATCGGACGTCGATTCATTCATTCATTATTGGAGGGGGCGGGTTTCCCCATGCACCGCGACCAATTGTTGATCTATTTTACGTCCCCCTTTGATATTCTACCAGTCGCCATACCCTTCCGGTACTGGTGCTCGCTATCAGCCCCGTTCAGCCAGCGAGTCGATGTAAATCTCCACGCAATCGTAATTGCGATAGTGGAGTGAGATAATATTAGTTTCACGTTCTCGCGGCGGTCAACATCCGAGACGTGTTACTCGAGTGCGTTCTGCACGTTGTTGGGAAGAAGAATTGCACCTCTGCTGCCGGTAATCGAAGTCCACCCTTCAGTCCATAGACTGAGCCATCATGGCTACCGTGGAGTTATGATTTGAATTGCTCCATCCAAATTTATCGCTTCCATCTTCATGGATCTTGAATGTGACCCTTGGTCTTGCTGCCGTGGGATACTTGTGTTTCCTCCTCCTGCTTGAGCATTGCGGATTGTGTCCCCTGCCCGGTTCCAGTTCAGAATTTCTGGAAACATGAATCTTTGAAGATATTTTATAGAACTCCTTTGACGGGGATCGGCCCATTGCAAGGCTTCTACTTACACAAAACAACACAGAAATAACGCAAACACCCATGCTTCGAATGGGATTCGATCCCAATGTTTCAGTAGTCACCGACATTACACTGTAATAGTCCATGCCTATTTTCTTATTATGAGTGAATAGAATGTGGCCTAATCCTTCGGAACCGCACAATCCACTACGTCGACGTGAAATTACTTGAGTAGGAATACATGAAGTTCGTTTCTGAAGCAAGTGACAGCAGGGAATACGAGTAGGCCTACATGTTTCAGAATTATTTAACGTTACTTTAATATAAGACGACCGCCTCTGTGGTCTAGCGGTCAGAGTTTCTTGCTACAGATCCAGAGGTCCGGGTTCGATTCCCAGCTCTACCAGTTTTTCGGAGAAGGAGTATGTCTGGAACGGAGTTCACTCAGCCTCGTGAGGAAATAGCGGCTCCGGTTTAGAAAACCTAAATAACGGCCATGGGAATTCGTTGCACTGACCACGCGACACCCTCTATCCGCTAAAGTTGACACTACGCCGACAAGCTGCGCTCTCTCGATCGATCGGTATAGTTCGTTTGCGGACTAAAACCACGGAGTTTTTTTTTTAATATAAGCCAAGCTGCATGATAGATCCTGCATAGGTTTGCAAACAAAGAATACCTCTGATTGGTTTGCGTGGACATTATTTAAGGTGCAGCATCCAGTTGTGCTGGTAGACTGTTGGTGTACTAGGTTGTCTTGTAAGTGCCACTTCTACAACATGGTTCGACCTGTAGGGTCTTCATCATCATCCTGCAGATATGCGATTGCTTCACTGTACTGCTTTTCTAAATGGAGCGGTTGCGCCGTACTGTATGGTTTCCGTCGATGGTGGTGGGTGATGCAGGCAGTGCAACAAGGTGCTGAAATACAATATTAAAATTATCTGGCCTACTTTATGTTGTTCGTTGTGCCTTCTTCTTCTGCTTTATCTTCGTCTACATGGATTGGAACTTACTGATCTGGTCAGGAAGAACAGTTGCGGAAGAAGACTTTCCATCTCCTTCATGTTCTTTCTTTTGCTCTACTGTATAACTAAAACGTGAATTAGGGCAACCTTCATGTGTCATCCTCGTTCACAGCAGTTCCAACTTTCTTTATAAATTACAGATATTAATGATAGCATTATTTAATTATTGTTGATGAGGTCTAGCCTATAGGCTTACAAACCAGACAGTGCATCTCAGTTTCACTGTTACATCCGTCCGATCTGTTGACGTAATCAGCCAATTACGCCTGTCATACCCCAAAGTTAAGAGTTCCCATCATCTTGCAATCTTAGCCGCATGTAATTTTGTGTTCTGATGCTGGAATAGCGTAGTCGGTATAGCGACCTACGGGGTCGAGTTCGTCTCCCGGTAGGGTGAAGAATTTTCTTTTCTCCACAGCGTCCAGACCGGCTCTGGGGCCCATCCGGCCTCCTGTCCAATGGGTACCGGGGCTCTTTACCCGGGGTAAAGCGGCAGGGACGTGAAGCTGACCACTCACCTCCAACTAGTGCCGAGGTCAAGAAGATGTGGATCTATACGTTCACTCCCCATACGCCTTCATGGCGCAGTACTTAATTAATTAGGCAGTTCTGCAGTTGTTTCACGCATAGGCGTGCATCGAAATTCATGTCATAGGTCAATTGGCAGAGTGGCTAAATAGGCTGGACCACAGGCCCGGTTCTTGGCAGCTTCACGGTTTTCTCACTTTGCTACCATGATTTACAATGATTACTGCGGGCTAAAGCGACCACGTCGTGAAGCTGACCAATCGGCTCCATTTATTGTTAAGTAGATTGAGCCTTCCTTCGCGTCTTCATAGCGTGGTTCTGAGGCAGGACAATTTTAAACTATATTTACACCAGTGCTTAGGCCGCGCCGTAGCTCAAGCGGTTAGTCGCTGGCATCCCACCGCGGCGGACCGGGTTTGATCCCGGGTCTGGTCAAGTGGGATTTGTGGTGGACAAAGTAGCGCTGGGGCAGGTTTCTTCCGAGTACTTCGGTTTCCCCTGCCAATCTTCATTCCGCCAATTGCTCCACAATCACCCTCACCTATCATCTGGGGCTGGTACAATAGGCCAGTAGTGGCCGCAGTACAAGGGACTTAGTCCCAACCCACTAGCAATAAAAAAAATACACCAGTGCTTGCCTTTGTAATCATTTTTCTAGCCAGATTAGAAGAGCATGAAATTCTGCGCGCACAGAAACAAGCCGTAATGTTAATGCTCTGCATCTTTCAGATTGTTGAGGCTCTGAATGGAGAAGATGCTGGGCAGGAAGCCCCGGGTACGAGATCTGAACGCCTACTTGATCTGCGTTTTGTGCGGTGGTTACTATGTGGACGCAACGACCATCGTGGAATGTCTCCACTCGTGTAAGTACAATCACGTTCCTGCATTTTAAATCGAGCTGTATCCATGACTGGACGTAGCACAGCACCGTAATGCCCAGAGGATACCCCCAGTCTGCTCCAGAAACTACAGTTACTGAACGGTAAGTGTTCTCTGTTCCCATGTACACATTTATACTTGAATTTTACTTGCTTACTCATGGAGCTGAGCCCTTCTGGAGGAGCCGCCAACTCTACAGCTACTCAAGACTTTTCCAGCATTTTATGAAACCCGAAGGATCATTACCGTGTTCACAAGAGCCATCCACTGGTCCCTATTCTGAGCCAGTCCATACCATCACATCTTATCTCTCTAGGATTCATTTTAATATTATCCACCCTCCTATGCCTTGGTCTTCCCAGTGGTTCTTCCCTTCTGGCTTTACCACCAATATCCTATATGCATTCCTCTTCTCCCCCAGTCGTGCTGCATGCCCTGCCCACCTCATTCCAATTATACTTGGAGAGGAGTACAAGTTATGAAGCTCCTCATTATGTAGTTTTCTCCAACCTCCTGTCACTTCATCTCTTTTCGGTCCAAATATTCTCCTCAACACCCTGTTTTCAAACATCCTCAGTCTATGTTCCTCCCTTAATGTCAGAGATCAAGTTTCACACCCATACAGAAACAAAGGAAAAGTTTAGTTTTGTATTTTCTAATTGTTATGTTTTGGACAGCAGACGAGAAGACACTGAATGGTAGCAAGCATTACCAGAGTTCACTGTCCACAGATCATTTCGTTCCGTTCAAATTTTATGAAAACAAAAAAGAAGATTGAACTTCGTTTTTGTGTACCGCTCAAAAGGCCCGAGAACAAAGAAAGAAAGAAAGAAAGAAAGAAAGAAATTCAGATCTGGGGGTGTTAGAATAACAAAGGATTGGAGAAAATTACACGATAACCTTCATAATTGTACGTAAATGCAAAAATTAAAGTCCCTGTGCTTGTTTATTTAAACACCACGCCATTAAAATTTATGGGGAAGTGGAGGTGTAGCTCCATCATTCCTTACCTCGGCACTAGATGGAGGCTAGTGGTCACGCCTCGGCCGCTTTAACCCCCGGGAAAGAGTCCCCAGTACCTGTTGAATAGGCATTGGACACTGTGGAGCAATCTCTTATCCCTACCGGGAATCAAACCCTGTCCGTCCCATAGTTCAGCGCTATACAGGCTGAGCTATCCCGGGTCACCACAATTCCTTGGGCCTGGCCTTAACCTAATACTGACAGGCGCATGAAATTAAGATGGATGGTGTGGGTGGAATTTATAACGCGCCTAAAGAATATTGGCTGGAGATTGGCATAGGGTGATATGTGTTGGTACCAGGGTACTGTTATGAGGATAATGGAACTTGAGCACTGGTTTCACTTCGTTCGGGTTTGAGTAAACCTAAACTTTAGTTAGCTGTGAACCTTCGGATGTTGAGAAAACAGGTACGTTCTTGATTACGATTTTACGGGATGTGACGCCGAGTAGTTTGGTAGATAGGCACAGATGTCACTTCCAAATGTTTATATCTGTCCAGCACACTGCGCGGCTCCACATCTTAAGAGGATCGAGTGTGGTTACTCGCTGCCACAAGAACCTCAAATCGTAACAGAGAATTTCCTATCAAACAGAATAACCCGCTTAGAATTTAAGATTCCCAAAGCCGCGGCTATGAACAGTTCAGGCAGGATAGCCAATGTCCCAGCTGAGATTGCTCTGAGGACCACAGGCCTGGTATGTCCGCATGTAGCACAGCGTTGTTAGCACCAGGTGTAAGGAGCCGAGATAGTGCAGTCGGTACAGCGACTGGCTATGGGCTGGATGCCCGATGGGGTCGGAGTTTGAGTCCCGATAGGGTCAAGAATTTTTTCTTCTCCAAATCGACTCTGGGGTCCACCCAACCTCCTATCCAATGGGTACCACGCTCTTCTTCCGCGGTGGTAAAGCGGCCGGGGTGTGAACCTGACCACTCACCTCAAACTAGTGCCGAGGTCAAGAAAATGTGGATATATAAATCCACCCCCTCATATACCTTCACGGCGTAGTGCTTGATTAGTTAAGCACAGGGACAAATTTACCTTTTCTGTCTCTGGGATATAATGCTCTGTAGTCCGTTGGAAGTCAACCAGCCTGCTTCATCCCAGATTCTTGCTTGAATCAGTCGTCGGCCCTGATCATGCAGACATGTTCCGTCGAAAAGTCGGTTGACTACCAAGGGATTACACGGCTGTATATCCCGGAAAATAGAACCCTTTATGGCAACCCTCAACTTTTCAAGGAAGACTGTTTAGTCATCATAGTCAGACTGACTTGGGCCAATACAAATAAATAATGACAACAGTGAAGACAACTTAAATCATGAAGTGCCTTGTTTTTCTTCTAAACACACTTAGTACCGTTCTCAGAATCTCCACATTTCATTATCATAGGCATGTCTGTCTTTTTCTTATACCTACGGTTTGTGGATTTTAATAGCATTTGATACATTTATTTGAATGTTATGCCAGAAGTTATCAGGCGAATTCAGTTTTGGTTTGGCTTTTGAAATTATAGATTTAATCATAACTTGTAAATGTGTTATTTTATTCTGTAAGATTACACAAACCACTGGCAGTTTTCATGAATTCGTGTTTTCTTGAGGTTCATGCGGATTTAGCTGTGTGACCTTATCCAATTTAGAATTACATTTTGAAAGTGTGAATATTGCACTCCTTTGGTGGGCTGTTTCGCTGTCGCAAGGCCCCTGTCTACGCCCGATATCACAGAGACAAAATAGGGGCATACGTATATCAATTTTCCGAATGGATTCGAACCCACTGTCCCAGTGATCGAACGGTCGAAGATAGAAACAAATTAGGCTTATCACCACAAATCATAACTTGCTCCAGAACAGAACCTGGTTCAGATACAACGAGCTGCATAACAAATTAGGCTTATCACCACAAATCATAACCTGCTCCAGAACAGAACCTGGTTCAGATACAACGAGCTGCATTCTCTCATTTCATGAATGCAAATTTAGAACGTAATATCTCAGTTGGACTTGGACGCTTACGGTTAGTGGTGGGGGCGATGACTTGTAACTCCGTGATCAGCGGAGCAACTCGGGATTGTTAAATGGGGATTGGTGCCGTGGAGCTCGTTAGTTTAGTTGCTTAGCTACTCAGCTGGAAAGTCAGCAGATCTCCTGCTTATTGGATAGTTGGCTGCTTATTCACTTCGTTAATTAGCTGTCAGTTGACGTAGGCAGCTAGATGGGTAAGCATACTTGGTCAGCTAAACAAACACCGTGGCTTGAGTCCGCAAGTGAACTATGCCGACCTAGCGACCACCACTTGTCGGCGAAGTTAGTGCCACTCTGTGGTCTAGTGTTCAGAACTCCTGGCTACAGATCCAGAGGTCCGTGATCGATTCCCGGCGCTATAAGATTTTCTGAGAAGTAATGGGTCTGGAACGGGGTGCACTCAGTCTCGTGAGGGTAATCGAGGCGCTTTTTCAAGGAAATAGCCGCTTTGGTCTATAAAACCAAAATTAACGGCCGTGGGGATTCGTTTCGCTGACCACGTGACACCCTTTATCCACAAAAGTTGGCTCATACTTGGCCAGCTAGTTGGTTAATTTAATCACTCAGTTAGTTAGTTAGTTAGTTATTTAGAGAGGGTGGGTTTCCCCATGCACCGACCAGTTTGATCTATTGTGCTTCCCTCTGTGATATTCTACCAGTCTCTTTACCCTACCGATAAATGGTGCGTACCATCAGTCCCGCCGAGCAAGCGAGTTCGGCCACTTGCTTAGCGGTGTCTATAATGCTTCCCCCATCTATCAGAGGCCGTAGAGACTATTGTTGGGCGGGAAGCGTCCTGGAATTTGGCTCAGTGATCCCCTTTGGGGATATGAGGTTCTTTCACGTGCCGTAAAGTTACGACACGGGACACACAGCTTAAAGTCCCTCCCGGAGGACTTGTTCCCTGAATTTTTCCGCCCTTAAAAATTCGACGACCTCCGCCGGGTATTTGAACCCGCGTACCACGAGTCATGAGGTGGGAACGTTACCTCTAGACTACGGAGGCCGCTTAATCACTCAGTTACTTAGCTTCTTGTTAGCTAGTTAGCCCTGAGACGTAAAGCTCCTTTGCCATCAGGCGTTTGTGACGCGTCTTATCGATCACTGATTTAAATGGAGCTGTTTCCACAGAGCCACACATTCGCGCCACAGATAGCTGTGATTGGCCGTATGTTGGCTTGGGAAATGAACATAAGACCGGGAAGTCTGTTACTAGACCCCGTGCCGCTGCTCCGTCCTGCTCCGTGCACATTGATACCGGCTTGACAACAGGGTGGCGTCGTAATAGAGGAGCCACGCTCGTATCGACCCAAGGTCGCCCGCTCCCTCCCTAGAGAGAGAGAGACGAGCGCTCCTTGTGACAGTCTGTCCAGTACGCACGGTCCGCAATTCTACCAAGTAAAAGGTCAAATTACCTCTGTGCATAAGCACCACGCCGTGAAGGCGTACATGGGGCGTGGAAGTCAAGGTGACACGTCAGTCGGGAATTGAACCCTGGCCCCCCCCCCCAGTCCACAGTCAGTCATTTTACTTACGTATTGTGACTCGTATTACAAGTGTTAAGTGGCGCCTCATAACAGACCTGCATTCTACTAATGGCGTTTAAAAATGGTTCCCAAACAACGGTTCTCGGGCCTTCTGCCATACCGGCCGCTGTCTGTAGCACACATCGTGTGGTAAATTATTGAATTTATGTTATTTTTCAACGTATTTCAACTGCTTTGGTTAAATGGCGTCGAGTGAAATAATAAAATGATCGTGAAAAGCAAATAGCTAAGGCTTTGGAAGGAGTCGGTCTGGTGTAAGCCTGTTTGAAGGCAAGTGCGTGAAATTAACCAATTTTCATGGCATGGCATATCTCGAGGTACAAAGTCAATTTAAATCGTCAAAGATCTGACAAGTCTTCCTGTAAAATAATAATGATCAAATGTGTCGACCTATTCACCGCCTCTATGGTCTAGTGGTCAGAGTTCCTGGCTACAGATCCAGAGGTCCGGGTTTGATTTTCGGCGCTACCAGATTTCCTGAGAAGTAGTGGGTCTGGAACGGGGTCCACTCAGCGTCGTGAGGATAAATGAGGAGCTATTTCAAGGAAATAGCGGCTTCGGTCTAGAAAACTGATATTAACGGCCGTGGGGATCCGTTGCGCTGACCACGCGACACACTCTGTCCGCAAAAAAAGTTGGCACGCATCTGAGCATTACTTTCAGTAATCAGAGGTTAAGAAGTTGCAGTCCTACCGTGGGTGTTGGGTTTGTGAAACTCACTTCGGTCGGACAGCTTTTGTAGAAACAGGGTATTCAGTTCTGCTGTCACCTGTACTGCAGTCATTCTCTGATTTTTCAAAACAATCCTTTTCATTGTACAGCGATCTCTTCCATTTAGTGTTGATTTTCGCCCAGTGTTTCCCTTTGCTGACGCTGTCTTCCCATGATTCGTGTATGCCGACATGACCTTAGAAACTGTCTCACTCGATGCACTTAACAATGTGGCAGTTTCTATCACGGATGCTCCAGCTAAACTCACACCAACGATTTGTCCTCTTTCAAAACCGGACAGCTCTCCCATTTCTCGATTCTTTCACACCGACTGTCACTCAAACACAATCACTAATGCACTTACACGAGCACTATAGAACGTAAATAAACGGAAGAACATTCAGTGTTGCCAAACGAATTTTTTCGATGTAGCTAACACAAATAAACTATATTCCACAATTCCGTAGTGTTTCCAGTAATTTATTCATCCCGTGCAACACCGCGTTGTTAAATTAACCAAAAAAAAAATGAAATTAAGTGAATTCACAGAGCCAGTACTTCTGAAACTAATAGTCGCTTAGCCACTGAATATTTTCCAGCCTTTTATGGATCACAAAGATTCCCTACTGCGTCCAAAAGAGTCCACCATTAGTCCCTATACACCGAGTCAAATGAATCCAGTCCACACACTTCCAGCCCTTTTCTTCAAACTCTAACTTCATATTAGCCCTCTAATTATGTGTTGGCCTTCCTTTAAAATTTCCTGAGCAGCGTTTTGTAACATTTCTCATCTCCCTTACGTTCTACGTGTGCTGCCCATCTCGTCTTCCGTGATTTGATAGTATTAATAATATTTAGTGAATAATTCTAGAGTTTTATGCAGCCTCTTGTCACTTTCTTCTTCGTATTCTCCTCAGCATCTTGTTCTCGAATAGGTCCGCCCTCAATCTCTGTTCTTCTTTTGATGTGAGAGACAAAAATGTTTCATGCCCGTCTAGAAGTAAATGCAAATAAAATTGGACACTCGAGATTGGCCTGTTGAAATAAACGGGAACTTGTAAATATTAATACAGGGATCACATTTGTTCCAGAGAAATTTATTTTTTACTAAAGAGAGTAGGAGAACTCACAATGTGATTGTTTAGACGAAAGGCTAAAGTCATCTTTGAAGGTTTGTTGCCCTAAACGGTGATTTGCCCCTCAACATTTAGGCATTGATATCGTTGCTACGCCAGAACAACTGAAGAGCATTGCCTTCTTAGTTAAGGAACTGTCTAGAGAGAACATGTTTCTAATTCTACATATTGTGACGTGTAGGGGTGACTATAGACGGGTTTCGGACTGGATGATTGGATTTACTGCACCTCATACATCCACACAGTTCGAGACTACAGGCAGTTACAGCGCTATCGCAATTATGCACACTTTCCACTTCACCCTTGCACACTCACTATGGTTCTCAGCCTTTACTAGTCGTATCTTGGCAACGGATTTTTAGGTTCATGTAAGAGGCCTGTCCTAAATTGCTTCGCAGATTAGGCCGTTTCATCTTTCATATGTTCAAAAATATTGTCCTGAGCACCTCGTTTTAAAACAGTTGTAGGAAAATGGTTTTTAGCGTTTTGGAAACTAGACTTTATTGACAATGTTTCTGTTGCCGTTGCATCAGAGCCAGTGAACTACTGAGCAGTTGTGTCCCAACTGACCTCCTATGGGACAGGGCACTGAATAAGAGACGGGACATTTCCTGTTTTACGGCGCACCTGTCAGCGTTGTGGCTGGCTCCTTATTGCATTTTCTTCTTGAGGAGTGGCCAAGATATTCCTCGCTTTTTTAATGAACTCGAACGTTCATCATCATAGCTCTTCCCCAGGGATAAAGCGGCCGGGGCGTTAAGCACAGGAACAACTTTACGTTTAACGCTAGGCGTATTAGGTGAACGGTGACAGTTTGAAGCTCTTCCTTTTGTAAATTTCTCCATTTTTCGTTGTTTTTGTTTTTATTATGAACAAGTAATTCGTTTTTATTTGCGCTATTTGCAAATATAGTCGAATTATATTCGTCCCTCAGAATCAGAGGCCAAATTATACAGCCGTACAAAATAGATAAGATTGCAGTTTCATATTCATTCAAGAATTTTGGGCACGATACGGGAACATCGTCCTGAAGCGAATGTAAGCATTCCCAGAACTGTGTTTGCTCTCCAATTTGTCACCAAAGTCATGACTGTCTTATCTATTCTGAACCTCACTCTGCTTTCTGAGAGCTCGTTGGTTGCATAACCACGTGGTTAAAGCTTCCATACAAAGCACTCGCTTACGTCAACGCGAGACCGTAAAACACTTTATTGAAATGGCACTCGTGTATTGCTGTGCTGCATCCCTGGAAACAGTCAGGGGAAATCTGTTCCCTCATATTTATTGGCCGTAAATCTACGCCGTAAATATTTATATGTTCCAGACCACTGACCACTGGAGAAAACCCATCCATGGTAGTTCATATTCTATTTAACAACGATGTATTATTTATAGAAGTTACTTAGTCGTCCTTAAGCTTTTAACTGCGCTGTTTTAAAAACCGGGAAATGTTGACTCTGTAGCTTCGGATGAGACGTGAAGCACTTGAATGCTGAGCAGGAAATGGCTCAGAAAGAGACGCATGTGCCATGTTTGAAGGTCTAGAGAGACTGAAGGAGAAACATGAAATAGGCCTAATTCAGAACTATTGGTGCTACGGCCGAGATTCGAACCCGATATCCCCAGAAACAAGTCTAGAATGTTACCGCTACTTCCGACTGCCCGTTAGTGATAGAAATGAGCAACGTGAAAAGCATGAGCTAATGCTCATATCTTACGTGTCCCAATCTCAAAAACCAGTCAAGAAATTCCGACGCAGTTTGCCAAGGGGATATACACGTACACTGGAAGTTTCCCGCTGAACTGAAGTTAGTTCGCATGGGTTCAGAGCACTGTAAACTGCCTAGCCCGTATGCTCATAGGGAGCCTGGAGTAAGGGTTAATACATTCCGGACGTCTGTACTGGGTGTGAATAGGTTAACCACGCCCTCCGACCGCTTTCTCTTTCCTGACTCCATTGTAAAGAGAGACAGACGGCTGGACACATAATCAAATGCATGTCTCTGGCTGAAGCCGAATTCTAGATACCCCGTCCGTAGGCACAATTATTTATTATTATTATTATTATTATTATTAGTAGTAGTAGTAGTAGTAGTAGTAGTAGTAGTAGAAGTAGTAGTAGTAATAGGTCGTGGGTTCAAGTCCAGATGAGGTCATTGAGTTTTTTCAATTGACCTAATCCTTCCAGNCAAGCCAGAACGTCGTGGGTTGGAGTCCCGATGAGGTGGATTTTTTCAATTGACCTAATCCTTCCAGCAGCACTACTATAGTCCTGGGGTCGACCCAGCCTCTAACAGAAATGAGTACCAGGAATCTTCCTGGGGTGCAAAGAGTGGCCGGCAGCCATATGTGAGCCGACTGTTTAGAGAAAATGTGGGAGCCCCGACGTCTCATAACCCTATAGGCCTTCACAGCCTCTTACAAGGATAGCTTTACATTTTACCTTATTCTCCTTCAAACAACAGGCCTATGTTAATATTTTCCAGTCATTTCCAATATTATTATTATTTAAATCGACGGATTCTTTTGTATATTCTGTGATTTCCATTTCTGATGTCCTGTGCCCAGTTTTCGCTGTAGCTGTCTTTCGAGAACGCTCCAATTTTCTGCTTGGCAATCTCATTCCTGGCATCGCCTTAAGAAGCGCACTTTCACAGCCTGTGCTCAGTGTTCGAGTTCGTCTGCTTAACAGGGTAGATCGGCGGGTTCCCGTCTGTTTTCTCCTCTTCATACCCAGCGTTTCACGAATCCTTTCCTTCCAGTTCACCTCATATATAACAGTCCGACTCTACAAACCACAGCAGTTGATACAGCATCTTCTGTTGCAGTCTGCCGCAGCTGCATCGTGCGACACCTGGAGACCAGCAAGTTCTGTCCTATTTGTGATGTTCAGGTGCACAAGGCGAAGCCTCTGCACAGCATCCGGTAAGAAAACGAGGAAGTTTACACCAGTTTTATTTCTTTGTTGTCTTCTCTGTTTTGTTCTTTGCGTCCTTTGTGCCTTTCTTATCCCCCCTTCCTTTGTTTTCTTGTTTATATCTTTCTTATTTGCTTATTCCTTCTTGCGCTTCATCAATTCCACCTTTCTTTGCTCTTATGTCCCTTTGTTTCTTTGTTCCTCGTTTATTCTCTCGTTCCTTTTTAGTCCATTATTCTTTTTCTTCACTGTCTCTTGTTTTCTTTCTGTCTTACTCTTTACTTTGCTTCCCTTCTTTTATTCCTCTCGTCCCTCACTTCTTCCATTATTTCGAATATGTAATTTATACCTTGCGAGCACGGGTGTGTACCTATTTCATTTTGGTGATATTTTGGAAAATCAGTTAATCATAAATTTATGTTAATTATTCATTCATTCATCAGTAATCTGTCAGACGACAGGTCCACAGTCTCTTCCAAAACAGTTTCTCCACTTAATGCGATCTTCTGTTTTTGGAAAGAGACTATCCAGGAAAAGTGATAATGTGGTAGTTTTTCCATTTGCTTTCCACATCGCAGTACAACAGCCGTTCAAACCACTCTGGTCACGCCTGTTGCTATACGAACTTGAACCATCTCGAGCATCATTTGCTCTGTGCTTCAAGTCGCTGCTGATGACGCTGCTTCCGGCATCAGTTTTTGGTGTCTCTCTTCGTCTGATGCCTACCCTTTGACCTGTCCAGCAAGGGAGGCCCTGCCAGTAGCTACGCTACCGCTGGTATAGCTCTCAGGGTCCTTGGCATACTCAAACCCCCTCACCACGATAAGGTGGAGACACCACGCGACAAATAACTTCACGTGGATCTCGGATTTAGCGAATCTTTATTGGACACCCACGCTTACAATTATTACGACTTACAATATCACGTGACTCAATACTCAACTATCCTTGGCCGTGGCTGGATCCCAACCGTCTCTGGCGGCGGCTGTCCCAGGACTGTCTCGTTCTCGTCTCAATACTCAATATGTTAATTATAAAGAATTACAAATAAAACACACACGTTATCTCCTCCTTGTCCTTGTCCTTCGTTTCTACCGTAGCAAGTACTGAGTCCAGGTCCCGTTCCGTGGATAATTAAAGCAGGCTGATAGGATATCGTTGCTCCTTTAGTTATCTGTTCTTTATTTTGTAAGTAAGAAGGGAAGAAAGTGGTGTCCGTTACCCGCAATATTTCCCTGTGTGTGTGGCTGTCAAAGGTCGGACCGGACGCTGCAGACCCTGGCCTATAAGCTGGTGCCGGGCCTGTATCAGACTGAAATGCAGAGGAGACGGGAGTTCGGCGCGTGCGGCAGCAGCAGCAGCAGCGACCTGCTGGCGGACCCCAGCTTCTTGTCACCCGAGGACAGCATCAGCCTCTCCCTGGAGTACTACGACAGGTTAGTGGCTGGCTGCCTGACTGCTGACTGACATTAACAACTGCTAATAGAACCGGAAGGATCAGCGCTCTGTTTACTGTTTTATTATCAATCCAAATATAGGTGCAGTCCTGTAATTTCCGTCCACTTATCATCGCATATGACGTACCTGTTGATGCGTTACGAACTCCGCAGACCAGGATGAGAGAGTGATTACTAACTGTAATTTGGAGCCGGGGTAGCTCAGTCGGTATAGCGACGGGCTACAGGATGGAGTTTAATTCTCTGCAGGGTCAAAAGATTTTTGTATACTCCACAGCATCCAGACCGGCTCTGGGGCCCACCCAGGCTCCTATCTAATGGATACCGGGGGTAAAGCTGCCGGGGCGTGAAACTCACCACTCACCTCCATCTCGAGCCAAGATCAAGAATGGTGGAGCTATACCTCCACTCTCCTAGACATATTCACGGAATAGTGCTTAATTAATTACGTACTGACACTTTCTTTAACCTTTCAATTTGGAATTAGTGTGAAAGGTACTAATACAGGCCTGCTTTATTGTAACATAGCACTTCCCTCTAGGGACTGAGAAAGACCACGTATTAAACCGATATAGCTAGTTTTCGGAACTATACCATAACGTTTTGATGTGCCCAACATGCTACCCATCTCTTTCTCGATCTACCAAGTGACGTTTCTCTACCAGAATTTTGTAGGCCTGTGCGTTTCGCGTTACTGGCTCAGTCCATCATAAGTTCGTCCTGTACTTAAATAACCACGACGCCACGAAGATGTAGATTCAGCAGAGGAATACAAGTAGCCTTCTTACCATAGATAGTAGATCAGCCCATCTTACTCTCCTCCATATATAATAACCTACATTCTCCATTTACACCTGAGTCCAGATATTCTTCTGAGCACTTTGCTTTTAAACACTTGCATTTTACGTCCTTTCCTCAGAGTAAGGGGTTTTCAAGGCATACTGAATGCTGGAAAATAAAATAATTAACTCCATGAGGCTGAGGCCTTCTTGAGACGCCTCCAGTCGCTCAGCTACTGAAGAATTTCCCAGCATTTTATGGAACCTGAAATTCATTACCGTGTTCACAAGAGTCCGACACTGGTCCCTATCCTGACCCAGATCAAACCACTCTATGCCACCTCATTCAATTTCTCTAAGATCCATGTTAATATTATCCTCGCATCTATGTCTAGGTCTTCCTAGTGGTCCCTTTCCTTCTGGTTTTCCAACCAAAATCCTATATACATCCCTCCTATCCCCGCCCTGCGAATTTCATTCTGCTTGAAGTCATCATTCTAATTATATTTGGTGAAGGGTACAAGTTATGTAGTTCCTCGTTATGTAATTTTCTCCGACCCCCTTCCATCGGTCCAAATGTTCTCCGTAATCCCCTATTTCTCAGGTACCTTCAGTCAAGACCACGTTTCATTCCCATAGAAAACTGAAGGCAAAATTATATAAGTTGGAAGATATCGTAAGAGCATGACGGTTGGCCTTTCAGACTTCTGTACAGTCGTAACTTTGCTGGTGCACATTTTGTCAGCCACTGTACATCCGTAATAAGCGCGGCTGAACGAGAAATGGCGCGCACTGTCTCGCCTCGGAGACCCATATAGAGGGAGAACGAATGTTTTCCCGCGTTTACTTATGTTTCCCAGGGACTTGCTGATAGTCTGATCGTCGTCCAAGCTATCCTGCTGTTTATCATAATAACCTTGTTTTTTAATGACGGGGTTTTGAACTGCATTATGTGGACAGTTGGAATTTTCCTACACCTTTTCATAAGCACTCCCACATATTACAGACGGACTGGCATGGCCTCCCTATACAGTTTGACGTTTTCTTCGTTCATTGAACAAGGCTTAAATGTTGAAGTGAAGTTTGTCGTAAATGCAGTTGAAGGTAGGACTGTAAAATGAGTGTTACTTGAATTTGGCTAGCACTCTTTCGAATTTGGGTCCAAAAGTGACCATATTGGTGGAATTCTGGGCAGCGTTCTAAGATAAAGGACTGCTTCGAGGCAGCAATATTTTCCGTATTTATGATCCTAAAGACCGCCTCTGTGGTCTAGTTGTCAGAGTTCATGCCTATAGATCCAGAGGTCCGGGTTCGATTCCCGGCGCTACCTAATTTTCTGAAAAGTAGTGGGTCTGGAACTGGGTCCACTCAGCCTCGTAAGGATAAATGAGGAGCTATTGCAAGGAAATAGCGGCTCCGGTCTAGAAAACCGAAATTAACGGCCGTGGGGATCCGTTGCGCTGACCACGTAACACCCTCTATCCGCAAAATTTGGCACTAACTTCGCCGACAAGCGGTGGTCGCTCGGTCGGTATAGTTAGCTTGCGGACTACAGGCCACGGAGTTTTTTTTTATAACGTCGACTGACATGAAAAGATGATGTTTAAGAAGTGGTCGTAGTCACTGAGGAAGACCACTAAAATCCTCATTCGGAATACCTGATAAAGCGGTAGAGTCTACGGGGGGTACAGCAGGTTGACACTGCCTCACTTGCAGGCCGTATGAGATCACAGTCATCCTCACTAATTAGTGGTAACGATTTGACCTCCATGTTAGCTGGGGGGTCTGAGGAAAACCAGAAATTCATATGTCAGTTTAGCCAGTAACGAAACAGAGATTTGAACAGGGAACCGCCCGAATAGGTGCACCAACCTGCTAGATAGACGAGCAGGCTTCCCCAGTTCCGAGGTACGTGCGTATAAACGCGGGGCGCAAGAACGTACTTTGATGGGGGAATTCATAAATCCCACTCCGCCTGCATGAAGTACAGATGTACTGTCATGTTTAAAGCAAAAAGCTAGCTCTGGAGCCCTGCTCTCAGCTGCATTATTCGGGGGATGTTTTCCGTCATGCATGTACAATATATATATGAAGTTAACCCCTTATGCAAGCTGTCGCCATGGCAACAAACGTAGTTGGGAATAGGGTGGGGAGGGGAGCGCGATGAATAGAGAGAGAGAGGGACAGAGGAAACAAGTTTCCGAACAATGAGCAAAGGGGAAAATGAAAGAAAATAAACGAGACAGCAGAGAGCTCTAGATGGAAAGAAAAATGAATGACGCGTTTGTAATGAAATCTTCCTCACAATTGGTGGCCCGCGGGCCAATTCCGGCTTGGAGAATATGAATTGGTGAGCACGGTTGGACAAGAGCGAGTGCTTTCTAGTATCATTCAAATCAGAAGCACCTCCCATAGACCTGTCCAGGAATGCCATTGATTACGTTTACTGGTTTAAGTATATGTTCTTAGGGTCAGTTATCATCAAACAGTGCCGCTACAGGAGGCTGTGTTCCAAATTTCTAGGGTACAAGCGGTCAAGCCTGCGGTTTGCGGCCCGGGGAGGAGGGGAAACAAATGCTGGCTCCGTTCATTTTATGGTTCCGAATGATTAGGTCTTACAGATTTGATTATGCGAACACTAGACGCATTTGTAATGTCTCAACGTCCCACAAGTTTCTTCATCCCCAAAAGAAATGAATAGAAAATAATCCGAAATATTTAAGAAACAGATAAAGGTAAAACGTAAAGTTGTCCCTGTGCTTAAGTAATTAAGCACCATGCCACAAAGACATACACAGTGTGTCCAGGTTCTGTTAGGACTGTGTTCATTAAAAATACAAGACGTGAATTATTTTCAAAATTTCACTCTTTTTATTCAAAGTAATCTCCTTCTGAATCAATTGAAAAGTTTTCGAAAACAGTCACTGTACTCCTTTTGTGGAATCGCATTTAAAACTGCTGTACGTTCCCTTTGGGTGCCCTGGATGGTGTCGTGGCGGTCTCCTTTCATCTCCCAACTTAACTTTCGGGAACAATCAGAAATCTGCTGGAGCCAAGTCTGGCAAATACCGAGGAGGATGATTAAGGACTGTGATTCCTTTTCTGGCCAAAAAATCGCGCACGATCTTCGATTTGTCGGGTGGGGCATTGTCGTGGAGGAGCGACCAGGAACCTTGCTCTCGATATTCAGGTCGAATTCGAGGAATTCTCGCCCACAAACGATTCAGGACTCCGAGATAATAACCAGAATTCACTGTTTGACCTGCTGGCAGAAATTCCTTGCGAATGATTCCTTTGGAATCGAAGAAAACGGTTAGCAGTGTCTACTCGACTCTTTTACATGCGCAGTGTCTTTGGTTTCGGCTTCTTTGGGCTCAAGCACGCTGCACTCTGCTGCTTTGTGAAATTCTGTATCACTTTGGGCCGACCGTAACATGTCTTTGCAGTGTTCCACTCTGGCATGTTTTTCATCGCCTGACAGCGCGTGCGGTACAAATCACGCACAGACCTTCCGTTTGCCCAAATCCTCGGTCAGAATTTGATGCACAGTACTTTTTGGTATTCCCAAAAGCTCCTCGACGAGTCTTGCAGAAACACATCTGTCTGACCGCCGCTTGTTGATGAAGTTAGGGCCAACTTTAGCGGACGGAGGGTGTCGCGTGGTCAGCGCAGAGAATCCCCACGGCCTTAAAAGGAACTATGACTTAAAAATATTTACATATGTACGTATTTATGTACTATAATTCGGAGTTTTCACTAATTCAGACTACCCCTTTCCCTTATTAATCCGAAATGTTGACGTTTTCTGTACAAACTTGTCCACCTGTGCAGTTTTGTTATAAACAACCCCACTGAAGCATGCCATTCTCTGTGGCCCCACATCATTCGCTGCTGCTGTTTTCTGTGCACACCGTGACTCCGTGATCGAGTGATCTTGACACCCTAACTTGTTAACAAGCCAGCACGATTTGCTGCATTTTATAAAGGCTGTTAACTAACTTCATGAAGCCGAGTCCTTGAGAAACCGCAAGTTGTGCAACTATTCAAGAACTTCCGAATATTTTATGGAACCCGAATGTTCAGCACCGTGTTCACAAGAGCCTTCCACTGGTCCCTGTCTTGAGCCAGATCAATCCAGTCCATATCACCCCATCCTATATATCTGAGATCAATTTTAATATTATCTACCCACGTATGTCT